TTTGACCAGTACGAATAAAGGGTTGGTATTTTAAAACCTTGCTACGTACCCAGATTCGCGAGACAGCCACGCACTGGGCCTTAAGTATATGACGCGCGTGATCTGTCATTGATATTTAGCAATGAAATTTTTGACAGTTGTCAATATTGACAAAACCAAAAAATTAATTCCAGGTTTGTACGAGTGAGTAGGATCAGTGCAGATCAAAGTAGTTAAGGTCAACCACTGAGCAGGAATGCCGCAAGGAATTCTCGAAAATGGGGTAAACCCTGACAAGAGGGGATTTTGGATTTTGCCCCAGATAAAGATTACAAAGATGCGCGTGTAACGTATCCCTAGAAAGGGAAACTTTTCAAAATGGGTAAAAAAAAAACATGCCAAATAAAACGTCTCGTTACCTGGTCAGGCCGACCCAAGGTCAGGTTAGTAGACCGCGGACACCGTGACTCCTTCTTCTCTCTCCAGTTGCGACCCCCGCTCTCTCCGTACAAGAGAATAAAGGGTGGTTCCAGGTACGTAGTCGCGCACAGTTGTACAGTAAAAAGCACTGGTATCAATATAAGGGATGAAACCTGATGATCAGTCGTCAAGGGGAACGTTCGTATCGCGCGACAGTTCTTTGTACGCGGGTTAAACAGGAACACCGAAGACACGTAACGTACGCGATGTATTTATTTACGACCGAAGAGAGGAGAACGAGACTACCGATCCAAACGGCACAAACGAGAACCAAATGGGAAAACCAGAAGCGCGAGCTTATGGTTCTGGTCGAATGGTGTGTGTATAATAATAATGATGACCACGGCCGCGAGGACAGGGCCGGCCTCGCCTATTCGGGCTTCGCTGAAGAACTGGCGGGATCCTCTCTTACTCGCGTATTCTCCACCCCCACCCGATCTCCCCCTCTCCCCGGTCAGGGTCCTCCTACACGAACCCCTACCACCTTCTCCCTCTCTCGCGCTACGGTAACCCCCTCCCCCTCCCCACTCTCTGTCTCTCTTCCTCCTTCTCTCTCGATATGCTTCGTGCTCTTGGTACCTGCATCCCGTACCCCCAAGGCATCCACCGACTCTACCCAAGGCTTCACCACTGCCACCTACAGCTCAGTCGCCCACGAACCATCATCCCTACCTATATAGAGACCCCTACCTCGTCCTTCGCTTCCTGCTACCCCTTGTCCCTCCTATCTTCTTCCATGGCACCCCTAACCTCTTACGGCACAATCACCCTCTCTGTGTCTAACGTTATCCTTCGTCTTCCGTGTTATGTGCTCTCTTCTTCTTCGTAGGGCACTTCAGCTTCGGCTTCTCCTACGGGGAATTTTGAGGTTATGTGAAAGGGGAGGTACAGTTTTTTCTTGCTAGGGAAAAGATGCCTTGAAGATAAATACCTTGTGTTTATATGACGTCATTCGATCTTTGACTCAAAATTATGACGGTTATGACGGACTGTAGATACGATACTTCAAATGGTTCGGTATGTTATGGGGTTTTTTTTTTTTAATAAAATATTTTTTATTCCTCAGAATTTTATGTTTTACTTTTTTTACACTGAGGGTAATACCGTGATCGATCAATCACGTCCTTATCGACGTTACGCGTAGGACTGAAGGGGTATCGATTCCGTTATTGTAATTGGTAATGCAAGGTAAATGCACGCACGTCACGATGTCAAGTAGGCGTTGTGTAAGATACAAAACTTTCTTTTTTGTCTTTTAAAAAAACTCCCTGATATCTGATATCGGTAAATCTATAGGATTTAGCTTAATACCTCTGCGATATGGGGACGGAATATCATAAAGCTAAACTTTTTTACCTTCCAAGGATTTTCCCCGTTATGGGGAGATATTGTATTGGTCGCCGTGGAGAGACGCTTTCATTTCGCAGAATTGCCGCTCGATCACAGCGCGCTCTATGCTCGTTTCTCAAAGAGTTCTTTCGCTTCTTTGATATGTACGACGTGCCGTTGGAAAGACATTTTTTCAGACCCGTAAGAAAGGTGAGCTTGTGGGAAGGGTGGGGGGGGGCTAGGGGCAGACGGAGGGACAGCAAGAGTCAGGGGAAAGGAAAAATAAGAGCGAAGGGTAACGCGGAACGCAGGAGAAGAGACCCGGAAGAATGCTTTTTTATTTCCATGGAAATTTCGCAAATCTAAAATTTAACTGGCTGACAACGCGCTTGCCATTTTGTCGAAATTTCTTGACGTGGGTTAACTCAGTTTGGCATCCTATTCCTTCGTCCTGCGTTCTTTTTTTTTTTTTTACCAAATTGATAGACAATTATAGCTGCCAGATCTAGTCCTACTGGGTAACCCGGGTTATACGTCATTGCGACTTGAAATAGGGTTAATTCGATCATCAACGTTTAGTTTTTTTTTTTTTAGTAAATAAATAAGTTATTCCTTCGTTTATTTAGATTTAATATTAATTGCCGTGATTAGGAGATTGGGATTAAGAAATATTTTTTGTAAAATAATATTCTCATCTTATCGTCTTTCGGTGTTAAGTATAAGATATATATATATATATATTACACTGTCTGACCAACTAAAGAACAAAACTACTTACGTCGTTACCCCTTTCTCTTTCACTCCCCCCCCCTCCCTTCAACTACTCTGGTACAGACACCAATTTCAGTGAGGCAGCCAACGGTTCGACGAAAGGTCGAGCGTTTTACCGTGCATTTTTTTGTCCGCGATACGAGTATTCCGTTTCGTAACGGGGCCACGTTTTTCAATTACTCCGCTACGGCTGAAACGATCGGTTACTTTATGAGCGTCGGGTCGGGAAATGGCTGGGACGTAATCTCGCGGGCAAACATGCATTATGCAAATCGTGTAAAGGACGTCAAAGGAAAGCACAGCACATTAGTTTTGTTATGTCTTTGAACACGGAGAATACGCAACATGATTTTCAGTGGGACCTCATGTGAACGCGGCTCGAGACACGGACTGGACGTGTAAAGAGCGCGAAAATCAAATATACAAGTCAGCCTCGTTGTAACGTCGTGTGGCTCAAAAGCGAATAAAATTAAAATAGAATCTTCACTGCGTTATCCAAAATGCACATAATGGCTGTCTGTGAATTTTTACGTGTGGAACGAGCGAGAGAGAGAGAGAGAGAGAGAGAGAGAGAGAGAGAGAGAGAAATGAGAATTTACAACGCTTTATTATTAAAGGTTAAGCAACCACAGAGGTAAAGGTTTTAATGGTCAATCAGCCGTGGGCGAATTTTACACGCGTGTAAAAACCAGACAGTCACGTTTTATTACGTAAGTCTGCATTCATACCTGTTTACAATACACAAGAGTCGCCGGGACGATACGTACTGTGGTAATATTTTCAAATTATCAGAACGCCTACGAGAGACTTAAAAATTCCACGCGCGATAGTACTTTTACAATCCGCAGGCGTCGCTGAGTGTCTAAGGATGTTCCGTTGGTAGCTGACAGCATCGTTTCGCCCAGAGAAATATTTATCGCGCTGCTCTAAACTTCCACGATGTAGCGAGAGTTAAAGAAACGAGCGAGAGAAGAAGGAAAAAAAAAACAAAGTTAGCAGCACGATTGATCGCATCCTGAAGCAAAGACAGCGCCGCAAGAAATATCGCTCGTTTCCCCAGCAGCAATAACATAAAGAATTCACGAACGAGTTGACTGACGTATAATTTCGAGAATCGATTTAACGCAGTCGTTAAATGAAAATAACAATAGGGTCAGCTACCAGAAAAGAAACATTCCATATAAAGAATAATCATCCAGCAACACAATCAAGTATATTCGTATCGTTATTTCGCACCGCATCCTCTACGAAAATGACGGTAAGTTCTCATGTTGTCGTTCAAAAATTAATGTCCATTGGGACTGTCACTTTTCATCGAATAATACCGAATCGAAATTGAAAACCAAGCCTGTCACTCGTTTCTTATACCAACTCCGAGGAAAATCTCGTAAAACTTCTTCACGTATGTATCTCTCTCTGTACGTCCTTTTCCTGGTCATACTCCGGTGCCTGTATATACTATAGATGCATGTGTATACATACCGTACCATACGCATATAGATACTACGTACCTCAGTACGTATGTACCTGCCCACGACAAACTACGGCTTATACCAGCCAGCAGCAACTTCATTCCTCACGACGGCGCGAATCGATAAGCGTCGACCACCACGCAACACACAATCCCATCCTGGCGCCCTGGCAGACTCATCCCAGGGCCGTACCAAGCATATATCCCGGACCCTTACGCCAGTATACGTATATCGTATACTATACGTACGTCGACATACCTCTACCTCCCCGGACACTCTCCTACCCCCTGCGTCTACCCATCATTTCGCTACACTCCAGCAACTCTTCATCCTCCTACGTACGTCAAGATCCTGATCGTACTCCATCCCCCTCGCACTTGCTGATAGTGGGTCCCTTTTAACCTCTCCTCGTCATTCTGCGTCGTGACGTCTTTTGTGTGCCTACGTAGGACTTGTCCCGGGTGCTCCTTTTTCGTTGTATAGTCATGATGCTAGTAACGTCATCATATTCGTTATACCTGTGTACAGCGTGCGTGACGTATAGGAATATTTGAATTCTGTAAATTAGAATTGACGGGGTATAAAAGATTGTAAAGGGACGTAGAATTTTTTTTCAATGCTTTATGATATGAATATCACAACCAGATTCGCTTTTTATTCTATGGGGATATCGGTGGCTGTATAAATCTTATGGCGGTTCTTTTAAATTGCATTTTTACGGGGAACATCACAATTGCGGGTAAGAAATCGTGAGTGGGATGGATCGTTGTGGAAAACTGTATTTATTATCTACACGAAATTCGTGTTTTAGGTATACGGACCATAATTGTATTGTTAGTAATCAAGACTGTAAAGAAATATTGTTCTAATATCATACGTACCTTATCGCAAAGAACAATAAAGTTGTTATTTCTCAATTTTTTACTTCCAACGTTCGAAACAGCAAACTATTACGGATTAACTACGATGTACGTAATATCGAATGAAGCTTCAGTTTATTTACAAAGTATCCTTTATACAACACACGATTATTAAACGTAAAGCTACTTTACAGTAAACGATCGAAAGTATTGATAAGAATATGACTAGATTATAGAATATCAATAAGTAGGGCGAATTCATCAGTCGAGGATTCGATCAGATCGATACTTTCGTACTCCACTTTCTGTCGGCCAATCAAAATAATGATACTGACTGATAATGATAAAGACAATTCTCTTCTTATCTGATATATGTATTATGAAAAGTGGTATCAAGCATCAAGCTGAGCGAATTGATGTCTCTCGAATTTACCATTTACCATTTTTCCTTTTCTTACAGAAACAGTGCGAAAGAGATTGAATGTGAAACAAACTGTAGCTTCGAAATCGGTACAATAACCCAACAACGGTTACATACAACGCATTATTAGGAATCGATGTAGGTACTTTGCACGGTGAATTCTCTCTAAGTGCGCTGCAATAATATATATAATTATTAGCATTGTTAACTGCGAAGCGTGATTCATTTGTTTATGCATTGTTAGACGTACCCAATTAATTTATGTTATGCTAATAACACGTTAGATTACTGCGTTAGGTTAAAGGATCACCTTGCAAAGAATCTCATAGGAATGTAGTGTCAAGAATAGACAAGATATAAAATGCAAAAAGGCAACTTCCTATAGCACTCATGAAAAACGAAAATATTTTCATCCACTTGCAATCGATTCGATTAATCATTTACCGTGGATGATTGATAATAACATGGGATTAAAAAATATTTTTAAAAATAGGCTGACTCGAGCAAGTACGAAACAATGTTACTTAATTTTAGTTTTAAAAAAAAATTCTCAAACCCAGCAACGCGTGTAAAATAGTGTATAAGCAGAATCAAAAGATATGTATAGCCTACAATCGCAGTAGTGATTACAAAAAAAAAAGGACATTAGCATATCGCCTAATTATTTTTGTTAAGTAAGATAACCTATGACAAAAAGAAATAGAATTATTTTGATCAAATTTGTGTGTCGATTACAGGGATATTGTGAATTAATGCATTTTAAGAACGATCGATCATCTTAATGTCATGGAGGATGATTAAATTAATTCTAGATTAGAAATATAATCGAGAGGAATTTACTTAGTTTAATACTAAGCGTGTTAAGGTCGGTTTGCGCACATTCCATTTGATTAATAATTCAAACGTCATACAAGTGGCATATCTCTAGATAATTATATACCGTCAGAAAACAATTAATGGCTATGCAAAACATGGAAATATTATCAACGTAACATTGCCTCGTACCAAGGCCTCGGTCGAGTCCCGATTTTGATAAATTGATATGTTACAATTGTTTCCACGGGTCGAGTACAGTTTAATGAAAGCTCTGCGACTGAAACGTAAACAATATATTCTATGGTACGTCTAATCTGAATGACGAGTGTACAAAAGAAACGGGATGGTTCAGCAAGAATCAACTAAAATTCTTAACATTTGCTGTTCAACGATCAACTAAACAGAGTGTGACAAGCAGGCAGAAAACAGAACGGTGCGAGCTTTTGAACAACTTCCAATTACCTCAAGTCGGAAATCATCTAGGAAATGATTCGAGTCGCTTAATAAATTCACAATCTATCGAATTACGCGATTTATCGATCGTCAATGATAAACGAGGTAAATTGGAATATCTAATCGTTTATTGTCCGTGTGATAAACGCGTTGTGGACGAGACACTTAAAAGTAACAAACAATGGACTTTGGCTCTCGATTTAACACGATAAACTATTCTTGCCTTTCTTCGTCCTTTGCTCTTTCTTACAGTTACTTCACAACAGCCTGATATAATATTATGCGACAATGTAGTAATACGACTTAACGTAACACGTACTGTACACGGCGATCGCATATCTTGAGAGTGACAATACAATAACCACGTCAAACAATTACGACTTTTGCCAAGTACGCGGTATACAGGATTTTCATAGTTGAAAGATACCGAACAAACGACGGTTGGTAATTTCAGGACGCTTCGGTTATAAAAATGATAACAAGATAAAAAAAAAAGGATGTAAACGAAAACGTTAAACAAGCATTAATTAAACGCAACAAATTAAGTAAGACTTTGCCGATATACTGAAAAATAGTTCGAGCCTTATCAGCGGCCTAAAGAAAAGTAATATCGTACGTGCTTTCGCGATGACAAAATTTCATTTGAGCGACGTATCGAGTTTACATTGAGTCCTACGTTCTTCTATTCTAAAGATATACTAGCGACGGACGTCAAAGGCATTTTCTTGACTGTTTTGCGTAATCTTCATGTTTTAGGACTAGTAACGCAATCTCGTACGTGATACGCAATAACTAATTATGTATTTACATATATTTTTAATTCATGAATCAATCCCGCCTTACGTCGTCCGGTCTAGAATACATATTTTTTTGCACGGCTCTCCTTTAGGTTGCTCTTATTAATAACGGCACGTACAACGTACTGTCACTTTTATCAAGATTTGCCACTGTACGCCTTTTTTTTCTTTTCTTTTCTTTTCTTTACAGAGGAATTTTCGCTAGACGATAATACTGAAAAAATATATATACAATTCTTATACTATACTCTCATCGAATAATCCGTTCTATATTACAATAACTTATCTCTTGTGTTCAGGGATCACGTCCAAGACACTACAGCGTGTTTCATAAACGGCGCGCTACTTAGCGAATACAATGCCGCGAGTCGCCTCGAGCTTCTTGTCGATTAACTTTTCTTTCTTTGTTCTATCAACATTGGATCAAACTGTTACGGAAAACGTGACTTGACGATTTACGAAAGAAACTCAAATCTGTTACACGTATGGCAGTACAGTAATTTCTGAATTAATTTCTACTGATAGCTTTTTTTTTTGTAGTTTTTCACTATGAAAAATTTTATATCTAGGACTGACACTTTTGAAACGCCTATTCAACACATAGTATTCTCTATGTACGCCCTTTTACGGAACACATTATTTTCGTTTTATAACTATGTCGCCATCAGATATATGTAAGTGACAATGGTGAATCTTACATAAGCTTAGGCATTTTTCGCCCAGAACAAACGTTCAAATCCTACGATTGGAACACGAGGGATATTGACAATTAATTGTATATGTGCTCACTTTTTTTCTGAGAATAGTAGGAACAATAAGTAAGATTTTTTTAAAGAAAATAAAAAAAGATTTTTGATTTTAATGCAGTCGATTGGAGAATATCCACTTATTTTTTGTCTTGATGCATTAAGAAATTCACTAGTTTACCTCAGCACCAGTATTTAATTAATAAATAAGATTAATCCTGCTGCCAGCTATAAAAAGTGGTAACTTCATATTTCTTACAAGACAGAAATTAAGTAGGGCAGTGAACTTTCTTGTGATAGCTATGCTTCAATTATTCGTAATCCATTACAGGAATGAGTGTATGCAAGAAAAATAAAATTTGTATGCAATTATAAGATACCTTTGCTTTGGGCAATTAGTTAGGACGTATGCATTGTGTACGTGTTTAGCAATTAATTAAATTTGAATTGTTTATGAAAAACTGGTGCGCCTTCCCTTGCTCGCACATACGTTTTCATTAGGGCAGATTCGCAAATAAATAATCAATTCGCAATCTACCTAAAGGATAGATTAACTTAAGCGCGATGACATTTGGGATTATTTACGGATAGTCAGGACGCACAACTTAAAGAGAGAAATACGCAATTTGACAATTTCATCCTTTTACGTCCAGTTAATTTAATTTACAGCCTGACGATCCGAAGAAGTAGCTGTGTCAATTCTTGGTTACGATCGAATCACATTACATAGAAACACTGACTCTTATTTCTTGTTTGCGACAGTCAATATTTTCATCCCTTGTTACGTGTAAACACGTTCTCACTGAATTTATAAAAGTCGCAGAATTTCACATCGCATGTGACAAGCTCACAGTTACGCCAGTGGATAATCGTTCCGTTTAAGAAGTCCTAAACACTTATTAAAATTCCATAAAAAAAGAGAAACTTTAAGTATGGCCTTTTACGCAGTCAACGAAAAATTTCACGACGCCCATCAACGATTTTCGTTTGGAACGATTCGCAATACTTAATCACAATAAAAAGAGAATCAAAATTCGTTGCTTTGAGTGAGACAAAAAGCAAGCACAGTGCATAGTAAAAAAAAAAAAAAAAAAAAAAAAAAAAAAAAAAAAAAAAAAAAAAAAAAAAAAATAAACAAGTTTTTGCATTGCTCAGAAAATATTATAAATCTTTCCCTTGGCTCACGTCATTCCGACTTTTTGTAGCTACCGGTAACGTTTTACCAGTATCTATATTTTTTAATGCAATCATTACCGAGATCGACCACGACCAAATGATTGTCAGGTAATACGGCAATACCTGAAGGACGTCTCAACTTCGAGCTGTGAGAATCAATTTCCGTGAGAATAGCACCCCCACCGAGTTTCAATACTTGAATAACACTGCGGCCCTTATCGCTGCGAGAGCCTAGTATTCGGCCATCTGGATCTACTGCTATCCCGCCGTACCTACCCTTACCTGTTGAACGATTATTAGCGCTTAGGAATATTTTCTCTCACGGTACACAAATAGAATTAAATAATAAACTAAAGTATTCAAGACAATACGAAGAGAAAATATATTATTCATGTTCATTTATATTATATCAACAAAACTCACCTTTTCCTTCCGCGTAAATCTCTTCCGAAAAGTCCCCTTTAGCAGAAAATACTTGAATTCGCGAATCAGCAACCAGAATCTCACCAGCTGGTCCTATAGTCACGGAGCTTATTAGTTTAAACATACTACGTTTGCCCACCTGAAACAGAATACACGAAAGACGTGAAATATTAATAGATTAGTATGATAAATAATCTACTCGCGATAGAATTTAATTAATGGAAATAAATCTAACCTGAAAGAGGATTTTGCCGTCACAATCGAATACGAATACACAGCACTGGCCATTGTCTGCTACCAGTACGTGTCCGTAACTTCTATCCACAGCGATATCAATAGGTTCCTAAATTGTATTAAAGATGATGGATGAATATTGTGAGAAATCACTGTAGAAATATATGAGATATCTTTTACGTAGAAACAACTCTGATATTATCCTAACCTGGAACGCATTGTGAGAAAAGGAACGAATGGTGTCACCCAGCGAGGTCATTTCTGTGACTGTACGCGTCCTCCAATTGACGATTACCAGTCCTTGTTCAGATACAGCAATTCCAGTACAACTACGTCCATCGAGACCTTCGTTGGTAATGTGCCTTTGAAATTCCAAATTATCATCCAATACCTTAACAAAAATCAATACAAGAATGGTATGGGAGTTATGTACAATTTCTAATAGAATACTAGGTATCTAATCAGTATTTCAATATTTGAATATTCTCATAGTAATGACATAGTCAATATTTTAAGAAGATCATAGTGAGCAGAAGAGTCTAAAGTGTATCACCTTGATGCGAGAGTTGCCTGTGTCTACGACGTAAATCATATTGTCGTCATCCACCGCGACGGCAACTGGTTGATGAAATTCATCTTTTCCGTGTCCACGTCTTCCATAAATTTTTACAGGTTCGTTATGCTCGGTCGCGTCAAAAAATACCGGATAGTCCTTGATGGGTCTTTCAAAGACAGATAACTTCAGCACGTAACGGCTTGCGGATGGTGGTCGAAAGAGGACCTCGTAGCTACCATCTTCCAAGTCTTTAATCTCTGTCTCGATGGAAGTACTCTGATTATCAGTATTGATACTGTCAGCTAGGGTCAGTTCGGCGCCTATTGGATCTCCCCCTGCATTCCTAGGATGGCCATGGTAGTCGACTGTCTCGACGACGACGGTTGCTTGTAACTTGGCCACCGCAGGATCCTTGAGTCTGGCTCGACACAGACCTGGGAACATGATATGTGTAATATGCCAATGATATGAGAATAAATTGTATTATACATTTTATTATGACTCTCATGTACCTGGTAATGTAGTACTAGAACGTACTCGTCCGAATATACTAAGAGCACGTTCAAATTCCATCAAGGCCTCGTTATGATTGAATTCAGCAGTAATAAAAGCGTTCTCTCTGGGTTCACTCAAAGCTACAGCTGCATCCAGTTGATCGGATAGACTGCCAATTCGTTGAGTAATATTTCGCACCTCGACCTTTATGGGGTTTGGATATTCATGAGTGATATTGTGACAGTTAATAATGCAAGGGTTATCATAGCAGAATATGAAAGATTACTTGATACTGAAGGCCATCACATTCTCGCTCAACCTTATTTTTCTCAGCTTCTATAAGAGCATGCTGTTCCTCCAGGACGTGCTTCTTGTCTCTGGCTGCTGCAGTGACGGCTGCCTGTAGTTCAGCTCGACGCTTCTCTACCTTTGAGATAATTTCTGCAAACTCCGCATCTACTGCATTTAGGCATCTTTCCGTGGCTGTTTCCAACCGTCGCAGTTCTGCACCCACCGACTCTTGCGCCTGTGTCAACTGCGTAGTCCGCGAACATTAACGCTTCTTATCACAATTCGTGTTTCTGCACTTTTTATTCAGGGACAGTGCACGGACAAACGATAGCGATACGTGGGCCTCACCTTGGATATACACTCGTTAGCTTTGTATAGTAATATTTCAGACATTCTTTTAATTGCAATACTAAATGGGATGATAGTGTGTTCGGTGCAGCCTGGAGATGTTCCTGCATGACTACCACCTGTACACACTGTACAGAAGACTGTGTCACATGTTTCGCAGAACAGCAATTCCTGATTTATGTGTACCGAGCATTTTGGAATGACCTGTAAGGAAAAAATGTATGTATCGATGAGCTTGTCAAGTACATCACGAAGTTATTAAAAAATTTGTGAAATTTGAAATACCTCTCGTCGTTGTCTTGACATAAGATCAAGTAGTTGGTTCACTAAGAAACTAGGTGGCAAAGCAGGAACACCACCACGAGGGATTGTTATTAGCTCACGACAAATAGGGCATCGAAATGCACCAGCCTCACGAGTCTGCGATGCGGCGATTCTTGTGAGGCAGTGCAGACACACCTGCGTACATACAGGGTGATACTCATGAATTACTCTTGATACATGTGTTTACAGTTGATTGCCCTTTAGTATACATCTGTTATGGTGCTGCTAATGTGGTTATCATGAAATATACAAGACGTTTTACATACCGTGTGAGAACATGGCAATAACTTGGGTATGTGTTCACTGCCGTCATAAACACAGAGGCAAGTTCCACATGTGAGAAAACTTTCGTTGAAATCCTCATAGTTAATGCTCACTGTTTCCACGAGCATCGAGCTCATGCTGACCATCCTCTCCCCTAGTCGCGTCCTGTAACAAGTTCATAAGAATTTGAATAAAAATTTAAATGAGTTTTATAAGCATGTCTAACATAGCAATCGAGTAACACTATTAGTAGCACTGTTACAAATCTTGTTTATTGGATATCAAATATATGTTTGTAACAAATATCATTAGCTTAATAGTTTATTTAATATGTGAGGTATTTTTTTCATAGACCTAAATCACATATCAACACCATGTACGCATCATCATTATCTTTAACAAATATGTGCAGTTAAAATAATTAAATTACACTCATTGTAAAACTTCACACTAAAAGGACAGGATTCTTAAGAAACGTTCATTAATTTAATATAATTCATTCTTTTATATTTTATTGCATAGGTTATAAATTACATTTTGCGTATACTATAGATGATATTAATTCCAAAATTGTGAATATATGTTTATTCTTATGAAACATTGAGAGGAAGAAACTAAAGAAAAAGTCTTAGTACTAAATGAAATCAGCGCAAATAACAAATGTGTTCTCGTATTATCTTTGTGCGAAAATCAATCGCGCGGGTCAAGAACCCGCAAATATGCGTGCGAATAAATAAGTCTCAACGAGTACAAAGACTTTAACTCGATACCAAAGCATTTCCAAATATTTTTAAAAAATTTATATAAAATCCCCCTCCGCCTCTCTTCCTGAGTAAATATATCACCTAACAAAACATTTGGCACGATAACAAAAAATTGTGGAAAGAATGAAAGACCACAAAATGTCACCAAGAATTCGCGAGTGTCTCCATCACGTCACAGTTGCTTAAAACAACCAAAAAAAAAAAGCGCGAAAAATTATCAACACATAATTACAAACAGACATAAAACACGTGCCAATTACACATCCGTACTTTCCTGATACATCGCAGAGGCCGAATAATTCTAACTCAACGTCAGTCTTCCAAATCGAAGGTACCGAATATAGCACAAAAATAAACCACTTCTGCTGGAAAAGCAAAACTTACTGTATAGCCAGTCGTAAAGCCTCCATAGTAGAATAGAAGACGTACAATATACGTATATTATCCCGAAGAACAATGAAGAACAACAATACGAGATTCAATCGAAGATCCCAGTGACAATAACGGCAGCGTACACTGAGAACGATGCACAGAAAGGTGTTCTCTTATTTTTTTCCTCTAATTCTTTCTTCTTTCCTCGAGTGGAAGACACACGAGTAAACACAAAGGCATGCGCGATGTTTCACGATATCCTTCCAACTTTATTTTTTCTACAATGAATTCCAGCCGGTATCACTGTTGAATTTTTACAACAAGAAAAAAACAAGAGAAAACAATAACAAACACGATAAAACCCATAGGAATTTTATTAAACACGCGTAACTCGTATAATCCGTACATACGTCATTTCATTCGCTCACGACGATTCGGAACGTCGATCATTGCGCTTCTTCTGTTTTTCTCATAGAAGATGCACTACGCGAACACGATCCTCTTCTCGTTTACATTCACAAGGGATACTGTATCCGCAACGGAGCCTTACAGAGACGCGCTGTCTCCGGATACCCGCTGTGGTGGCTCCATTTTATAATACAGAATGCACAATACCAACGACGACGACGGACGGCCAGCGAGTGCAGCGACTTGCCTCTCACGTTTCACAGTGTCTCACAGCTGCTCGACCGCGCCATTGGCGCGAGGTTAGTATATTCTGCCTGTGAAATATACACCAAGAAGAGGAAGGTTAGGTAGGTGTAGTCGCCGCCAACCGGGTAGCTGTGTATACGAAAAAAAGAGAAGTAAACAGTAGAGAACTCTACTGCGCAGTCTCCCCCAGTCAAGGCGCAACTTCTTGCACAACTTTTACTATGGAATTCTATCCGTCGGATAGGATTTTTGTCAATTTCTTGTACCAGTACCACCAGTGGAACTTTATCGTCTAAAATTCCAGATTGCTCACTTGACATTTATTTATCATAAATTAATGGTATGCTTCAATAAGAAATTCTTATGAGATGGTAGAAACCAAATGTGATCGTAATATTACTCTGCCTTTGCTTCATTATTTATACATTGTTCGAAGTAATTTAATTTGTTTTTATTTTAGTTTCTAATGAATATCACTCATCTTTTCGAGAACAACCACGTTTTGCAAGGCTTCGGCGTCATTTTTCTCGCTTGATTTATGCAAGGACCTTTGACCCTAATTACCACGAAACACGATCCCATTCTACTTCACTCGTGAAACGTTCTCAGGATGTAATATTACTCTGAACTCATGAACTCTTTTATAAAGTATATCAGTGTACGTTATGCTTTGCACCTACAGATATATGTATACATAAAATCAGATATATATACATTTAGGTTTATTACAAGAATCTACAGTGCATCCATAAATCTTTCTGAACTTTCCTGCAGGCAATTTGGCTTTTGCGGTCGGAATACTAAAAATAAAATGTCGCCGGCGGAAAAACATTTGGAAGGGCGATAACCTCAAAATGATGACTATATGCGCCGATACGCAATTCGGTTAACGGAATGTACGGATGCAGTCTTACCATTCTTTTATAGTATTCCACGCTTGACTGTAAAACACCTTACGGCTCTTTTTCTCAAGGTATCCACTGTTTGCATCTCGATTACATTACACTGCTGAGAATTTTCAAGTACCTCTAGACCATTGGAACCAGAGTTAGTAATCTCTCAACTGGTTCTGTTTATTCAAGGCTAAAGAAGGTAAATGTGTACGCTAATGGAGCGTTAAAAAAAATATTCTAAACCCGTCTCTTGTTCAGATGGCAACCTTTTTTCTCTACTCCTAAAAGACGCCTTGAGGGACCCCATGGTGTCTAGAAATTCTTGACGTCCCAACAACTTACGTTTAGTCATAGTAAGAAGTGAAAAAAAAAAAACGTATGTATAGCTGCGATATGTGACTAAACAAATTCATCAATCTTTTTATAAATATTTTATTTGCGTCTTAAAGATTTTGAGCTAGTAGGATTTAATAGTCTCTAATTCTAATAGATTCAAAGGTCGTAACCTTTCAACTGGTTTGGTCCAGTCTAGACAGAGAATACATCAATCCACTACATCCAAGATGCAGTCATAAGTAGCATTCATTTATTTCGAGTCATGAATCATCACTTTCCTCCATTGTAAGCGAGTGTATTCACGTACAAGGAAGAGTGATAAAATACGTAAGAGAAAAAAAACTCATTCCTAACCTATATTTTGCTATGAAAATTACAAATAATATCTCACTGGTTCAAGCTGGAAACTGGCGATCTGCTAAAGTAATAATTTCGTTTCCCTCTCATTGTCAATTAGTACACGTATAGTTAGGAAGTGCATTCTAATTTATTATTAAGGGAACAGGTGCAATGTCTTTTTTTTTTATTCTCCCCTTTATTACCGCATCCGCATCGTGCAACCAGTATGACATACGATTCTCAAGGTGCAAAAGGTCTTTTCGTGCAGTGCCAGATTACGGAAGCCCTTCTCCCTTCTAACGTACTTTCATAATGTCATTACACAATGCAAATAGCGAAACTCTGTACCGACTTCAGGGTGTATCGTTATAATAATGCTCCACTTCCTATTGTTGAGCATTATAAATCAGGTTTCAATGGTATAGCAATCGGTTCACTAGTCATTGTCTGAAATTGGTCAAACGATTGCTCTACGTTTTGTTACCTTCATGATTGCCTTTTTAGAATTTTTTAATAGAGCTAATCGTTTCCGCTTTGAATTACAAAAATTGCACTTACATAAAGGGACAGCAGCTCATGAAGACTCCGTCGATAAGATCTACGTACGTAGATCAGTACTCATACGCGAAGCGTAGACTCGATTAATATTATACGTTGAATATAAACTCAATTCCGATTTGTGATATTCACCTTAAGAATTTATCTTTTCAATATTTACACTGTATCTTTAAATTGTTATTGCGCTTTTACATTGGTCTTGACGTTCTTCACTGCACGTTTATAGCTTTCGGTATTACTGTATTATTTTATTATTGCGACGCAGCATGATTTTTAGAACGTCAATATGGAGAGTCTGGGGTCAACACACTGACGGAGCACCCCACATTTTATTACCGTTCTGTAAAAATGATCTTCCACCCTCGTGAGAATTTATTTGTACCCTTCCTGAAGTTCTTCATCGGATACTCAGCACTCGATGAGAAGTATGAGTGGCGTGAGTCCTTATGGATAATGGGCCTGATGCTATTTCTCCGGAGGGACACAGAACAAAGGCCTCGAGTGGAGACTTGTTTGTTGACACAAAGAAAACATCTGATCCATCTACACGCAACCAACCCCTCAAGTTCGATCCTTTGCGCAAGACCCAATACTCTAAGGGTGAGTCGTTGATAGATATTGAGATTCAAAAATGGGATTAGAATATTCACATATTTTTTTTTAACTGTCAGCGAGTACGACACTCCAGGTTGTTTGCTGTTTTCTGAGAGGTTGACGTACTTGAAGGAGTAAGAAAAAATATTCTAATATTGATCTCGTTTTGTTTCACGTTCCGCCAGGTGGCATTGCGGCTGTCCATTCCAATTATTCTTGACCAGGTCGATGATACTTATTAGTAGTTTTGACATTCCTTTGAATTTGTAGAAACGTATGGCTTTGTTCAAATATCTAGACTCTTCCTGTGTTGCCAGTGCACTTTAAAGCATGCGCGTACAGATTTGGGTCACTCCGACACTCGACCGACATGGAAATTTGCTGCGTTTAATGTCAACGTCTTTTACTCTTACGATCAGTTTTTTATATAACGATTATATCGTTCTCGCATGTTGCAATAATCACGAGTTTGTCACGTAAACAGAAAAATATTCATATTTTGCTCGATTTCTAAGACACTCGGGCTATGTTGGGTTAACTTGTCAAGCTCTGCGCGGCCATTCGCTCCGAAGTCGGAGTAGAACTGGAGGGTGCGCGAGCGCCCCTATAATATTACTCTGTCAGTCGATGCTAAGAAAACCTCTGTAAGGAAAGAGTGTCCTGATTCTACGGGATCTATTGAGCTTAATGGAATTTAACCTATAGATTCTATGATAAGATCAATATTAAATCATAAAAAATTGTAATACAATTCTTAGCATTATGGACCGAACATACAAAGTCTGCTGTCTTATAACTTTAAAATCAATTGAATTTGTGTTATTAATTTTTCAGCTGTTAAATTCTACGTGCCATCTTTTACAAGCGGAATTTATTATGGCTCTGTTTGACTTCTCCTACGTGTCATAATGTGATCAGTTGTCCTTTTTGGTACTGTGGTACGTGAGCAATGTATTAAGTAACAATTTATTGATGGAATAAGTGTATATGAGAATGGCAGACTATAAATGGAACAATGCTGACCACCAAGACTTCCTTTCTTTGCTTATGGCTGTATCCCCAAAGAGGAACATTCGCCAGGTCACCAACGCTATATGTTGAAGATGCTAGCAGAGGTGATTAGGGAGATTGCCAGTGGGCTGTTCTTTTTAAATAAAATTTCTTTTGGCATCGACGCGCCACCTGAGCGGAGGGCCGCCGTACCATACCCACGTTTTTGATGGTTCGGGTATATATAGATATACTACGCGTGATATTCGTGCGTGAGCTCCAGGAGACGCATGGATTTATACCGGGTGACATTCTAAAGCGTGTGCATTCTGGTGTCGACACGCCACCTGAACGGAGGAGCTTCGAACCAGCTCCACGTTTGATTGGTCAAATGTATACTCTAAGCAGAGATGAGTAGGGAGATGCACAACGCTACGATTTTAGACCAGATATGAATAGGGAGATGCACATTGCTACGATTTTAGGCGATACCAAAATTATGGAGTTGAATCGCAGGGGTGAGTCTGGAAGTACGATTTTGTGATCATTGCCTCCGTCGACAAAGCATATCCCGTCGTAGCCGAGCTAAACGTGTACATACATACATACATGCATGAACGTGTAGCTTGGCGAGCAGAGGTTCTCCGCTACTCACTGCTAATTCCCAAAGCAACCCTTAGACCGAGACCGGACCGGAAACTATAGAGCTTCTCAAGAACTATTGAAAAAGCCTATTGTTAAAATATTATGAAGACATTTTTAAGAAAGTCCAGCGCTAACTGGACACCCGTGTAGCACCTCAATTTTTACTAAATATTACTGGATCTTGATTTAGCCTCAATTTTATATTTTGAATAAATTTTTAAAGTAAATCAAGATCCAATAATAATATTTGGAAACTTTATTCAATTTTTCGAACTTTCAATATTTCTGTGCAACTAAATTTTTTATTCTTCTCTTTTCCTTCTTATTCCTTTTTGGCTTTATACCCTCATAGAGGGCCAAGTGAATGGATTATTGTAGTTCTTGAATAAATTATTTTGAACCACTTATGCGTTGATATTCTTTCGTTTTCTCTGAATACTCCAGAGTACAAAGGAGTTTTGTCTCTCTGTTACTTTCCTTCGCCCTAACTGCATCCTTATCCTCCTCCCTTATGCTTTGACACTCTTTTCGCGGCTATGCTCTGTTTTTCCTGCCATTATTTTCCCCGTTTTCCTTTATTTCATTCCTCATTCATTCAGCATCCATCTTCTGACTTCATATTTCTTCATCAGTAATAACATCTGCTAAAATAATAAAAGTAGCAGACTCTAATGAGTGGCGATTCTATTGATTTTGGAAAACACTTAGACTTGCACCTCTAAAACGCTATATTTCGGAAAAGGCTGAGAATTCATCTTTTTACTATAATGGTCCAATTAAAATTAAATGATTTGCATCGATGACACATGCCTGCCCTTCGGGACAGGATGTGTGGCGCCATCTCTGAGAGAACTGAGAAACTGTGATTTGGAAGTGAAGGTACTATCGACTTGTTTTACTGTTACCTGGAGGAGGTTGGTAAACTTTCTTTAGAGAACTTGGTTTAGTTGGATGAACGACGGGTAGATGACGATTCGGACATTTACCTGTGTAGATTAACAGGAATTAATTATTTTGATAGGTATTTAAATGTCTTTCTTTATGATATAAGAAGGGAAGATGACTTGTAGGTGTATGAGAGTTAGTAACAATGCGTGGAAAGTTATTAAAGTCAGGGATAGATTGAAAACGAAAAACTCATATGCATAAGAAAAAAATTATTATTCATCTATCTATCGTTACAACGGGTTTATAGAAAATTGCAGGCAATTGATTATTCCTTGTAAAAGTAATAAGTCATTGCCAAGAATATTCAAAGCTAGATTATCTAGAATTATCAGCCATTTTGATGTATCCTTGAATCGGATTGCAATTAATGATATTATACGAATACACGTCGATAAAAAAAATTATAATATTTCAACGCTAAGTTCTATAAGTTGAATGAACAATTATATCTTAAGATGAGATTGATTATGCGGCTAATTACAATATATGAAATATAATAAATTAGTACGAAAAAAATGGTATATTCTAAGTAAAATAAAAGTAATACTTTCGTTCACACGGTACTGACCGCAATTCCTTATCGTTTTGTAGATTGATCATCTAGTGATTTCTCTAATCAATATAAAACATAATAATAGCGAGCTAAAGTCATTTTAAATAAATATTGCAGTCACGATCGTTCCAGAATTCATTTGGACCACTTCCGTATGGACGTCACGTTTCCTGTTACGAAAGTTATCTCCAACATCCGATGGATCAGCAACAATTTCAGAGTGATATAATATAATTTAATAATTTAACTAATCGTCTCCTCTATCCAACTTAAATAACTATAAACTCTAGTATGTACGTCGGGATAACCCAATGCACACGGCGAACCCCAAGAACCGATACCAATTTGTGCTCCATGGAAAACTAGAGGACTACCGGAATCGCCCTAAAATAATATGCAATTTCAAATCAATATAAAATTACATATCAACAATTTTCACTCCTGTATTTAACATTTTTTCACTTAAAAATATACTCACATAACACAGTCCTTCGCCTATGATGTTGTAGGTACATAAGTGAGTCGGTATCACTTTTTGAAAGGTATTCTGACACTCAGATAATGCTATAACTTTAAATTCTATAACCTGAAGTGAGTTGCTGTTCGCGCTGTACTTCTGTGAAGAATATGCGAAGATTAGTACGACTCGAAAGTACGTTAGAGGTTTAAAGTTTAAGGACTGACATGTCCATGACACTTTACGGATCAATAACGCGTCTGCTATTTGTAAGACTTTCTTTAGTCACTCGTGACAGACCGTTTTATTGTCTTTCTTCAAAGGATACTAAATTTAGTAAACATATGTTTTATACTTACATCAGTGTATCCCCAGCCGGTAAAATTAGCAATACAATTTGATTCGTCCACATCTGCAGTCGGTAAAGCAACAGGCGCTATCTTATCCGTGAATGTAATTTCTACTTCAGTCTTTATAAGTGCAATGTCGTGGACTTGTTTTTCTCGCACGTAATCCATATGCAATATAATACTGTTAGCTTTGTAAGCAATTCCTCCAGTAGATAAATAATTCGTGCCAACCACTAACGTGATATCGGCAGGTTTGTATTTCACGATACAATGGGCAGCCGTGAGAAGCCATCGATTATTCAATATCGATCCTCCACAAATATGAAAACCAGAAATCCTAATTGAAACTTGATATGGAAAATCACTTATTTTGGCTGTGGTTCCACCGACGATCCTTGACAGTAAACTTGCACCTTTTTTGGGGAAAAAACGCAATTGGTATAATTTTAAGGTAATTTATATTCTATTTAATACACTTAATACACTGACGATAACCTAAATAGTTAGAAATATAATTTTTTGTATTGTATTTGTCACGGTTTAAATAACGTATCTTTTTAAACTTTCCTGCACTTTTGTATGATTCGATTGTTTACATTCAAAGTAAAAATTGTTGATTGTTTATTTAAAACTTTATATTATTTACCATTGCATGACGCCAGGAGGCCGATAAAGACGAAAGTGAGGTGCAACATTTTCAATAAGACTGTGGACTGCCGAATCCTTAGCTATTTAATTTATAGTCGCAATTATCTCACAATCTTTAACCTGCCATTTATTTTCACTTTCACGATACAGGGGATATCAGTGGTTTTCATAATCAACGTTTGGATATCAAAGAACCTGATGTATGACGCATTGAGTATTATTATCTATCAGCAATCCTTCATTGTTTTTCATTGTCATTGCAAAAGGGGATTTGCAAATAAGTATGAAAAAGGAATTAAAATCAATAACAAGACACAATTCTATTTCCGCAACAGGATTACCTTGAATTTTCTCCTTATCTCATTACCGGTAGTAGGATTTTCGATAATAAAATTTATCTGACTTGATTAATTTTATCAATTAATTCAAGCGAACTTGGATGAGCTGAGACGAAAGAAGTTTGCTAATTCGAAAATTATATTTTCAAAATTCATTATCTATCGAATATCATTAAAAAGAAGTTGCGTCTGTTGTGACTCACAGTCCCAAAGACTGATTACATTATTAACGCAGGATCATCAACTGCTGATATCATTCTGAGAATACTATTTTCGTTCTTTTGTATATTCTCAATGACTCCAACGATAGATAAACTAATATCCATCCGATATAAGGAAATAGTAAATTAATGCTTTTCTTCATTAATAGTCCAATAATTATTTTTTACATTTTATTACCACCAAACAATAAGATAGCTATAAAAATTGTTTTTCAAATTTTTTTTACGATAACCAAAGAAAGGTGCACCACAATTAGTCATGCACATCGCGTTACTCGATAATAAAAACTTTAAGATATCAGCCAATAATTCATTTTTCCTGTTCTTATATCTTGAAGATTTACACAGTGATGTAATTATGGATCCAATCAACGTAGCTGTACACGCGTGTAAAAACATCGGGTCTTCCCCTGGCACATGGGGTACCCCAGGAAACAATACCAATCTGTACATCGTCTGCGACCAGAGGTCCACCAGAGTCTCCCTGTGAGTTGAAAAAAAAGTTTTTGAGATTGATATGAAAGAATAATACAAAATTTGAAATTATATTTGAATAAAATAAAATCATTCATTCTAAGAAGCCTCTTGATAAATTCACTTACGTGACAGGCACCCTCCCCTTTTTTATTCAACGTACAAATATTATTGTTCGTAACCCGTAGACTCGTGTTGAGACAATCACGTTGATCGATAACAGTCAACTTTATGTGTTGAAGCTCATTGGGTGGCTTACCTGGATACTTGAAATTTAAAAATACAACAATAAATAATTATTACTGCCAACAAGTCACTTTTTGACTCAACATTATTTTTCACTCGATCGACAACGTTCTTATGCAATTTGTTGACTTTTCTTAGTATTTTTTTTTGCACCAGACAAAAGTCAACCTCGATCACCGCGCGCATGCGCAAACGATTCTGATATATATATATATATAATTGTATATGATTCATTGTCCAGACGGTATGCTGTTATGTTATCAGTGAGACACTAGTTGAACCACCATTGTCATCTATCATGGAAGTTTTGGAATTGAACAATGAAAACTTACAGTCGTGGTTCCCCAGCCTGATAACACAGCTGGATAATCCGACTTGCTGAAGTCCGTCGTAGGAAGTTTAACAGGTGCAACCTTATCTCCAAAAATAATATCCTTATCGACCTCGATCAAGCCAACATCATTTCTAATTAATGCAGCACTATACTTGGGATGTGACACTATACGTTTTGACTGATAACTATCACCACCCTCATCCAAGGTATTTGTACCTGTGACTACTTTGATGCTCGTGTCATTGAATCTATAAATTTTGTTAAGAGTTAAAAAAATATTTTCTATGCAAAATTAATTTTATGTAATTCTATTTTTTTACCCAGATAGACAGTGAGCAGCTGTCAATATCCAACGTTCGGTTAGAATTGATCCTCCACAAAAATGACGGTCATTCAAACGCAGTGACACTTGATATGGATATTGTCCATCTTCTGCAGCTGCACCACCTACGATTTTACCCTCGTCGAAATTTTCATCTGAAAATTAAATATTAAGTTGTTGTATTAAGTCATATGAAATTCTGCTAAAATTTATCTGATATTGGCACCTGCTAATATTAAGGGTATGAGGATAGTGATAATATTAAAAAATGATAAAAACATTGTTTCACGAGAAAGAGACTATTGGAATGTGATTAAACATTCGGAAGGAATTATTTGAGGTGTACTCAGATATTTTGTGTATTTATAGACTGACATTTTCTAACGATTAGGATAAATTACGTGTCCCGTAGAGCATACTTAAATTTAGGTCAGATAACTGCCAGGTGGGAGGTTCCTGTGTATTTAAAAATATATGAATTATTAATTCAACGTCTCTGCGATAACAGTTGATATTTACATTTCTAATCACAGCTTATGCTTGGAATATTTATGATGTTAGAATTCCGTGAAGCTGTTTCTTTTTTGGTTAATGATATTTTTTATCTACTTTTGATTAATTACTATTTCTACTTACTATTAGCTCGGTTCGTTTTCCGTTCTATAATTGGACTCCTATTAATCGATGCTTGATATCGAAACAAGAATTAAAGATTAAATAAAGATTGGGAAGATTCTGTTCATTCGTGTCATATTTAAGATTAGATCGACATACGTTATGTCAGAGGAAGGAATTTTTTAATTGATTTTTCTTATCAAATCTATAATTCTAATAAGCATTTCTATATTAAAATTGAATTCGTGTATTTTATTTTTTGATCTGTTTTAAGAGAAAACTTATACAAGTATATTCGCAGTAATGATATTATTTTTATTGTATTATTATTATACAATAATTATACAAAATAATTATACAATATTCACAATAATGATATTCGGTATTCCTGTGTTTGCAATGTGACTGCTAACAGAAGGAAGTTGATTTTCCGGAAGATTTAATTGATCTGATCGACGAAACTTTTACGAATTTTTTGTTTTATTTTGAAAAGGAAACGGTAAAAAATTTTGAAATTTTTTTACTTGTATTCTCTTTATATTAATTCATCAAATATATTTTTTTTATATTTACATTAAAATTAAAAAAAATGAAACGTGTGTGCAGTACTACCTACTACACAGGGAATCCATGCAGAAATGAAAATTTTGAAATTTTTTCCCCATAACTTTGAATAGTCAACCTTAATTAAATTACGTTCATTTTAAATGTATTATTTCAATGAATTAGGCACAACTACCCTAACCGTTTCGCTACGGGCGGGTTCTCCGCCGCGGTACCTCGAGACTGTTTGTCGAGGTATATAGATTGCTAAGCATTGAGTTATTTCGGCTATCCGAAACAAATGATGCAAAATAAAATACTATCAATGCATGTCCAGAGTGAGATACTTTTGCAGAACGACTAGTCGCAATATCTCAGTGCGTCTTATGGAAGGCCACTATAGTGGCTCGTAGTAGTGAAATGGTTAAGACAGCTGAATATATATCTTATCGTTTCGTCTGTTTCCGTACAGGTTTTTATTGATAAGATAAGATATATAATTTACAGGCAAATTGTGCATATTAGCATGGATACTGAATTGATCTTGTTGAATGTGTATTAAAATGTTTTGTTTGTAATCGATGTCAGCCTTATTGATTCAGTTGCAACATGTCTCGACATAACGCGTCATGATAAAGTCTATTTTTATATGAATTATAAATATATATGTCGGTTAGATCAAGGGGGTCACCCTTTTCGGGCCGGACAGTTGTAGGCAGGTTCTTCCAAAGATCGATGATAAGTCCTTTATTCGGCAAATACTCCGCGGTGCACAAATTTAGCCCACTGGGTTAATAGAAATTCAACGGAAGTTCAACAGCCCGATTATAGAGTCTTTGCTGGTAGTCCGCTCGTGTGCCCTTTCGAGACTGTCCGACCCCCGAACGCCTCGCTAGAGCCTTCCTTCCTTCGTCTCCCTCTGGCTCTCATCTGTTTTCCCTTTTTTTGTAATTTCTTTTTAATAAACCAAACGTAAATAGTTGCACCGTCATATTAAACATATAAATACTCGAATATATATATATATATTATTTTTGATGTATGCAAATACTGATTATGAATTAGTTAATGAAATTAGCAGTAATTAATTTTTAATTATTAAATGTCTAAATATTAAGCACTGTTCGAAATGTGATAATGATTTTTAATCGATCATCAGAGATCATATTGAAATTGGAGAAAGAATATTTGATACTGAAATAAAAATTAGTTTGGCAAAATTTTCAGAAAGTTTTGCATTAAATGCATTGAAAGATCAGTCGGTTTGAAGGAAGTTTGACTTACGTTGTGATGGAAAACTAGTTAATTATTTATATTTGAAAATTTATAATGACCAACATTTCTATCGACTGATCGAAAGTCTGGATTAAATCAGATGATTCGTTTAATTTACTGTGTTATGCAGCGGCCGATTTTATATGGTCGAGAATCAATTAACGCACCTTTGTCCCTCTGATTAATTAGAGGACTAATTTTGAGCCAAATTATAATAAAGTTATACGAGGATGTATGCGTTGCTCCCAACGATTAGTTATTATAATCATTATAAAATTATTTTAAAAATTAAAAAAAATTGATCCTATAAAATATTCAAATCAATGCCTATGCAGTTTCAAAAAGAAACAAGAAAACGAATATAATAGTAATTGCAGAATGGCAATGTATTTCGAAGATGAAAAATCATACATTATACACCGAAACGGTGATCGATGCTGAAGCCGATGTTACATAGTTAAGCAAATTATTGATTATCTTTAAAGCGTTAGGATGGCCAGAAGAAGTCAAGTTGAAGATAATTCGTTTAGCCAGTGTGGCTCCTGATCCAGCTGAGGTAGCTGAAGACACGGGCGTACATGTCAGGACGTCCAAGAGCGCAGGCGTATCCCCAAGAAACGATACCATGCTGAGCACCGTTAGCGACAAGAGGACCACCAGAGTCACCCTAGATAAAAAAGTAAATAAATTTCAATAAAAAATAAAAGTCTTCTCGTATTAATCATTAAAAAATAATAAAATGAGACTTACGTTGCAGGTACCTTGTCCTTCGCGGGTGAAGGTGCAGATGTTGTCTTTGGTGACACGGAAGTTGACAGCCAAGCAAGTAGGTTGGTCGATGATACGGGTGTTCAATACTTGTAGGTTATTAGGGATGGAACCTCCAGCCTGAAATTATAAAAAAAATAATCATTTGATTTTAAAGAAAAATTAAACCCGACGACTCCTCGTCACTCATTTGACTTCGGTTTTTGTACTGGACGTAAAGTTACCTGCAGACGTCCCCAGCCGGTAACAACAGCTGGCGCGTTAGCTTGCTCGAAGTTTGAAGTCGGCAGAGCAACAGCACGAACGAGGTTACTGAAAGCGATGTTACGGTTGACATTAACCAGACCGACGTCATTGCGGATCAGGAGGGAATTGTAGTTGGGATGAACGACGACGCGGGATGATTGGTAGACGGTTCCTCCGCTGAGGAGAAGATTTGTACCGACTGCGACGTACACGCCGGTATTGGAGGAGCTGCGAAGGTAATGAGAATATAGAATTAAATCTGCATTCGCAATCTATCGGGAGACAGATAATTTATATAGTTATCGATAGGCAGACGGAATTCTAACCTAGTCAGACAGTGAGCAGCAGTCAGGATCCAGCGGTTGTTGACAATAGAACCACCGCAGAAGTGATTTCCAGCAGCGTTACGCAGAGACACTTGGTACGGGTATGCACCAGTACTGGCAGGGTTACCACCAACAAGACGTTGTGCAACATCATCCACGATGATCTCTTCAGGCTTTATCGGTTCCGGTGCCCTGTCGTAGATTGGTACACCATCTTCGTAGTACCCAGTGGCGGCAGAGCCTGATATTTATAAATGATTTAGAATTGGTTTGTATATATTTATATTTGTAAAATATTTATGTACATAAGATGCGACCGAGAGGTACCAAACCAAATACGACATTTTTATATATGTTTGTACAAATTTTCAATTAATGTCCATGGCTTGAGATTTTTGTTTGCTGTCTTTTGTGATATATTGATTTTTGATTTATAGGCGTAATTTGTGCACTCGCAATTTTATTATTTTAGTTTGATTAACATACCCAGGGCTACTGCGAAGAAGGACAGGAGAACCACACAGGCTAGACGACACATCTTGATTTCTGTTAATGCCGGTCTTGCGAATGCTTTTTATACGCACTTTGGGGTAATCGGAATTGAAATCAGAGACATGATAATTATAATAGATGTCACGGATTAAATCTTTTAATCCATTTGAATGCTACGTTTCTCTCTTGACTGAGATTGAATAGAATTGTGGATTAGTTGAGGAGACGATAACAGATAGTGAAACGCGATCGAAGAAAAATGAAAACAGCAATGATTTTAGCATTATTTATATTTTATACTATACATTCTTGACGAAGAGTGAGCAACTTATGTTCCTTTAATATTTATGGCATCGATCAGCAATTTTCTGCAGTTTGATGCTTTATTAATATAGTCACGTGTTGCGTCTACGTGCACTTTGTCGCACTTTTGCTCATAAGCTTGCATAAGGTCGTTAAAGAGTTATTAGCGGTTTTGTAGACACTTTGCTATCTGAGAATCAGACGATGTTTACAGGAATGATTATAAGTAATATATTATAAAAACTATTAATATAGATACTAGTGTATGGACAGTATTGTATATCTAATATGTATCGCACTCGTGGTGATAACAAATCTGAAAGAATGACGAAAGGAGGTCATTTTTGTTTAATATTACATTTTTATTTACAAACTATGCTTTTGATTGAATCGAAAAAATTGAATTGAAAACAGTTTTTTTTTCAATGCGAGATTGCATTATTCACATGCCCATCATAGCTCCAAGGTATTTCATGCGTTATCTAATGGACATATGTATGTCTAATCTCGTAACGACCATCAAGAGACGACTCACGTTTTTCTCAGCATATCAATCAGACGAGGCTGCCATTTTAATCTAACCAGATTAGGAATACGTAGACACACATATTCAGTATCTTGGTCCTTATGATTGTCCAGGAAGATGGCGTCGCAATTTTTCTACTGAAACAATGAAGACTAATCAGCCAATTTCTAACACCGTCAAAGATCTGAATTAGCACCAAAGCTTGGTACACAAGCAATAAAGTTTAGTTTACGTGTAATAAATTGAAAATTTGAAACTAAGCTCAGTGTACAGTTTTAATAATTCAGCTACAGATCGCTGTAGAATTTATAATCAAATTGTAATATTAAGAAGTCCAGCAATATATATGTATATTAAAATATACTCTAACCATATAAAATAATTATTTCGTTCCTCTTTCTCTCAATTCAATAAGACGCAGACGCGATCGACATCGTACCAAGATAATATTATGTAATAATTGTAATTACACAGTGGCGTAGAAAAAAAGTTTAACGAATCAAAGATTTATTGCATGGTATTACCTTCGCAAAGATCGTTGAACCGCAATTAAGGAGATTGGTAAGATGCTGATTGGTACGCGAGTGGATAATTATCCTACATAAACAGACTTAATTTCCTTCTTCCACTTTTATCACAGTCCATCTTCTTGTCGAATGATCCAACAAAAGAAAGGATCGTCTGTGTGGACGATGCCGTAAAAATTCCTTTTGACCAACCACGTTTTAGAGCCGTGTCAGTAATTATGATAAGTACTAATAATTATAGTTTAAAATAAATTACAATGTTAATGCCAGTGGCGTATTTTCTTTGCTGCGAATTACACTAAGGCGACTGCTAATTATACAGACAACGCTGTTATCCTTTCAACAAGATGTCTGCCGTCGTACCAGTGACTTAGGGGTACTACGTGAGTCGCGTGTAGCCTATGGTAAATTTATATATGATAGTTTACGAAAATTTAATTGATTGTATATTAATTAACATCTTTAATAGAAGCTTCAATGTAAAAAATTTTCTCTAAGTATAACTTGTTATAATTATATCGAAACACAAGTTATGTCAGTAACTGGCGCGTGCTGGCGTCTCGAATATGATTCAAACTCGAGTCGAATTTACAGACTAAATAAATAAAGTAATAACGAAGGGGGACGACAATGAATCGGGCATTTTTTTAAACAACTTTATTACTAAAAAATACACTTTCTTTTTGAGAATAATGAATAATGTATGGGACGAGCGGTCGGGAGCAGCTGACATGGACGGCATCTCACTGCTCGAACGACCGTTCGTTTTAAAAAAACGTCGCATCACAATCGTGCATAATAAATATTGATCTAATCAATATTATCATTTATTCGACGCAATTACCTGTGCGATTATCAGAGCACGAGAATTCTCATCGAGTGTCGTTAAAGTTATCATTACCGAACTTATCGCGTCACAGGATGCTTCACCCCACGGGATAATTTACTATACATATGATCGTTGTGAACAAATCCTACATTCTGTTTGAAAATAAATGAAACGCGGTACGTATATAATTCTACTCGTACGTATTGCGTTCATATTTTTCATTAATAATTTTGACTTTTATTCTTATAATTTTTCATAGATTTCCTCACATTTTGTACTTATATGTACATACACACACATCCCCGTGGAATCTGGAGCGTCGAAAAAAGCGTTTCTCTGCGTTGTGAATTGCATTTATTGGTAATCAATAAGTTTTTTTTTGTTTCTATAAAGAGTAAGAATGGAGGCACCATGATTCAATATAAGCCTATGCGGATCATTTAATTATGATCCATAATTGCTAATGCGCGATACGGCAAACAATGATTCGTCAAGTATAATTATCCGATATGGATAGAACCTTGTGGAAAAAATTTCTTTTCCGTCGACCTTGATTTTTGCCTGTTTTTAAACCCAATTCACAATGTTGACACGAGAGATTGACGGAATCAGCATGAGGATCGATAAAAATTAGACTGATTGTCGCGCAATGTGCGAAAAAATGATTTATCACTTGTCTGATACAGTGAACTGATCTTTGATCGCGAGTCTTTGATAAAATTTTCGATTGTCAAATTATACTTCGCGGTTTCTCTGACTACTTCCCGCTACTACCTCGTTATTTAATACATTACGCGTAATAGCTATACCTACATTATTTACAAAATTATGTTAGTAACATTCGCACGTGTCCCTTCGAGATATTTTATGTGTCTTATTTGGTTTTAATTATTTCAAATATAATACACAAATAAACTGCGACTGGTATTAACGATTCTGTGGAATCATTAAATATAAAGACTGTCTTTTTTTAATATACTTCCAATGTGATTATACGACTAGCTACAATATTACTGAATACGAGTAATCAATGTACTCTGGAATAATCTCACCATAAATACGAACAATCGAGTATCGTAAGATATAGAAAGAAATAAAACACGCAAAACATCTCAAGTTAAATAAATATCGACGGATCGTTAACGCGGAGCCGTTTATCGTCTCGGGGTCGTGATTCTTCATGGACGAGTCAAAGTGTTGTCGCAAAGGAGAATAACGAATTGCATATCAGTTCGTCGAGGAGAAGAAGGTAAAAGATAAGGAAAGGAAAACGAGAGAAGTGAGAGAGTAAGAAAGAGAAAGGAAAGAGAAGAAAATAAAAGGAACGGATTAAAAAAGTCATAGAGAAAACAGAACAACTCGTCAATCGTATCCTCGTTAATTCGCGTCACTCGGTTCGTCTAGTTAAAAAAAAAAAAAATTCGTCCCCGAGATTCGCGACATTTTCAATGTAAAAAAAGAAATACGTGATACTTGGGTAGGCTACTATACACGAGTATACTACAAGTATTAATATGCTTTGGACCCGTGTGTCTCAGCTTCTGAGCTCAATTCATGTCGGCTTATGGTCAGTGAAAAGAGTTGTCATCGATTGGCAAGGGTGGCGTAATCGGAGCTAGATGATCGCCGCACATTGGGAAGTTTGGTGGGACCGGCGGAAGATCCGCATGCGTGCCAACGTGAAGGACCAGGTTCATACCGATAACTATATGGAAGAGGAAATGACAATGGAAGAGCCAGTATCCTGAAAGAAAGAAATTTATGCTTAACAATTCCGAAACAAAAAATAACAATTACATAGTATTGATACAACACATGCAAAATCGTTAACGTCAATATATAAGGTTTTCATGTTTACCAGGATTATTTGCACGGAACCGAAAGACAACGTATCCATTATTTGGCACAGCAATGGTGTCCTTGGACGGTGGCAGATTAAATTCTCGATGGAGCAAACCTCTTCTGTCAAGATCCAGGGCGTGTTTCAAATTAATTTTCTTAACGTTCCTATCAGGCGATCGGCCCATACCGATAACGTTAAACGCATAACCATGAAGATGGAAGGGATGCGAGAGATTTGGCTGTTGCACTAGAATTTAGAATATTATTAATTCTTAGTAATAAGAATATGAACATTTGACGTGTCTGATAATAAAATAATTCGTGTAATTACCTTCGTCAACCAGTACGACTTCGACAATGGCGTTCAACGGAATGTCAACCTTATGTGTGCACATGCAATTTGCTCCGCAGTCAGCTGGTCTATTGTCGCCATTGCAGAATTGCTCGGGCGGGATGTCGTCAATTTGGGAAAGTGGCGGCGACGGTGGGAAAGTGAAGGATATTTCGTCAACAAGAGATATCACATGATCCCCGGTGGGTGCAACTGTGGGAGTAACGAATAAATAAGATAAAGGAAACATTGCTTTTGGTATGTTGCAACTTAGAAGTTAATTTTTAACAAAATTATTCTCACCCAAGTAACGATTGTAGGTATTGGGTTGGAAGACTTCTTCCGGTCTGTAGAATAGGAAACGGAATGGCAAGAAGATCTTGACGTCAGGACGTTCCTGAAGAATACCTTCATCGATGTGACGTGCATTCTTCAGCTGATTGATGCACACAGCGTCCTCGCGCGGTCTGTTGCAAATGGCGTCCAGTGGATTGAGAACCTATAAGCGAAAGAGATGCATTAAATTCTTTAAGCTGGAACACATAAATGTCACAGAGACGCCAACAGTCTTCTCTTTGATAACTTACCACACCCTGTGGAAGACCAAGGTCATACGTCGGTGAAATAGAATCAGGTTGATAAGGACCACGTGCATACCTCAAAATACCCAATTGTTGAGCACGCTTGATACCACATTCGCCAAGTCCACGCAGCTGGATCCAGTATGCTCCAATAGGTTGATCAGCATTAATTACGAAATCGTAACGTTCACCTGCGTAGAAAATTGATTTGTAGTACATAAAATAATTGTTAACTGACAACAGCCACGACCTGCGCAGTGTAGTACTACTATATACACAAATATTTTTCACCGTCTAATTACTGTCGAATGTATATCCAGGTTTGAGATATGCAAGAGTGCGTATAACTGATTAGATATCGTTTGCAAAGAAAATGACTGGCAGGTTTAATGGCCGGGAGACAAAATAAGAGAAAGCTTTGAGTCGTGGTCTAATAGCTATGGCTGTTTTAACTAGCTATTCTAGTATCTATAGATATGTTCTTAATATACGGCGACTCAAACGTACCGTATCGACTACTAGACTTATAATGTATACTTTAGGGAAGTAGTTTACAATAGTTTGCCGCATTTAATAAATACTGCGGAAATGTGGAAATGGAGTGCTGGCCGTAAGACCCGCGTGATTAGTGGCAGAACAATTTTTTCCTCGCTCAATATTATAATCGTACGTAAATTACGTACGTACTGGGACCCATATGTATGTATGTATAATAATGTGAATGAAAAATGGTCCTGATCTTACCAGAGAAGGAGATAATGGTATTCACATTAACAGGATGAACCGGTTCGCCATCAGCAGCGATAAGAGTCAACGTATGATCTTGGAACGTGATCTGAGCTGGACAGACAGATCCAAAGGAGTTGATCATACGGAAACGGTAACGACGTCCTGGTGTGATGGTGAAGACTTCCAAAGGTGTATTCGTCATGAATCCAGTATTGGGATCCTGATAAAGGATGCATAATTAATTTAATACGTCAATTAGTAAGCCAATGTTTGGTTTGGTCAAGCATACTGAACATGATCAGAACACTTACTCTGAATTGACCCTTTCCGTTAATCAGGACAGTTTCCGGATCCTGACCAGTATTAACAGCTAGACGACCTGGATATCTCTCGGCAGTGTCCTCGTGCATCCAATCACTGATAAGGATGACATGTGTAGTCAGATCGTAATCGTAGAGATTACTGTTGGGATCCTTTGCCGGTGGCTGCCGTACCACTATGCTGCCGTAAAGACCATCCATTTTTTGAAGTCCAGTGTGAGCATGCCAGAAGTGAGTACCTGCGTTTCCGGCTGTCCATTGGTATCTGAGGAGATATAAAATTTACAATTAATTTATCCCTATCAATTAATACGCGATGATTCTAAACTAGTAAAAATTCAAATACCTGAAGGTAGTGCCTTCCTGAATTGGGCACTGGGTTACAAACGGTACACCATCATAATACTGAGAACCCCTCTGCCAGAGTCCATGCCAATGAAGTGTCACTTCCATGCCTTCCATATGATTCTCCACATCGATAACGACCTTATCGCCTTCACAGACTTGGATGCTGGGTCCTGGTATCATTCTGTTAGCTGTGAGTATACCTCTTTCAACACCATCAGCCAGGACACATTGACAATGGCTCCAGACAGTGTTGGTAGCATTGGGTGTGCATACCTGACAGGCACTGTAAATATTTTTTAATTTAAAATATGTATGAGTATATAAAATTATATTTTTTTTAAAATAAAAGGATCAATAAATTTTAATCATCCTTATCAACACTTACGCTCCAAGTACAGTGTAGTATTCAAGAGTGAAGTGATAATAACAGATCTTGGGTGGTTCACCGTCACGACAAGCACGTGCACATTCATCAGGGGCGGACAACGAAGGGTTCCTACGTAATTCAGCGGTGGCCCTTTCGGAATAATCCAAGGGCCTTGTCCTGGGTGGCCTGACAGTCACTCCACGACTTCCCAGGTTATCAATACCCCCAAATCCACTTTGAAATCCAGACGGATGCGTTTGGACCAGTCCATGAGAAGAGGAGAAGAAACGTGACGTATCATCCTGATCGAATACATTTCCAGTTTTGATGGCAGGACTCCAGAAGGACGAAGCCGCCGATTGGTCCCCGGTTGCTGAGGAGACTTCTGTAATAAGGAAATCAAAAATTATATTACTCATTTTTATTGTTACTTTATTGCCCGACATACGTGGTACTGTACGATTGGATTATAATCTGTTTTCTTTTTTCATGTATGCAGTTCCGCTTTCTTGGTCAATTTAATGGTACAAGAATGAATGTGATATTGGGACATATACTATCAACGTCTCAGTCGAAGACATTCACTCTTTGGAAAATGCAAAAGCGGTCGCCATATTATGCATTACTGTAAAACGAAGCGTGGCTAGAACAGCTGTGTTTCGCAATTGGATAGCTGGCCTGTCCCAGCACGCAGACTCCGACTACAGGTATACGAGATACGATAGATACGAGGGAGATACGATAGTTCCACGCTGAACACGAAAGCCTGGCTAAACCGGCTCATTCCGAAAGTGCAATTAGCACGAAAGGTTAATTTACCCCGAAGGAGCTGTGACCTATAGATACATATACCCAGTCTCGTACCAATTTCACATATCTTTGCATACTCCTGAAATTTCATGAAAAAATCACAATACGAGCGTCGTGCTTAAGAAATTACGAGACTCAAAAAGTTCTGTGTACCAAATCATTTGAAAGTCATCAATACGTTCTGGGTATATAATCGTACCTTTGTAATTAGCCTGATAATTATAGTCTCCGCTAATAATTGCTACCTCGCTCAAGCTGCCAGTAGTTCATAAATGACGGCTAATAATTTTCCTCGTCGATTCCACAGATGCTCTGGTAAGCGTAAGAATAAACAGTTTCACGGGATACGTGTGACAGTAAGTAATTTACAACGAAAAGAGCATAATTCAAATATTATTTAAAACAAAAATTCATACCGCTAAGGTTGGATCGTAGAAAACTTTGTTTTCCTTGGAAATAATAAAATTTCTAAAGTTTCCGTACTCAAGCCCACAATATTCTCACGCGCAGATCCACCACGTGTATGTTACTTCTCATATTGGCCTAATTCACCCTTAATCATAGTGTTTCGTTGCACTTAAGAAGTCCAATTAGCCTTTCGTTCAACAAGCAGTGCCTCCTGCGTTGTACCACGGTAACGTGTAGTAAGACACTGCGCCTCTTCTGTACCGTATGAAGATGGTATCCATGTAGGTAATGCAGGGCCTTGTGGGTAATATCCGTCGTTACTACGAGGTTATGTTATTAATAAGTCCGTCGGGCGATAAAAAAGTTTTTTCTTAATAATACAAATCACGCGCATTTCCCTTGGGAACAAAAGCTCATTGCGGACCTTCCGTGCGTAAGTCGTGCCTGCTTGTACGTAAATGTTTTTCCTTGTTATACGGACTAGACGTAATATTGCGTAATGTTGTGCAACGTCCGCCGTATGTTTGACCTGCATTATTTTCTACTTCCTCCGCAACGGTGACAAACGGACAAAGACGAGGAAGTCAGGCAAGTGGAAAAATAATGTGTATCATTTTCTTGGACGGAGGTTTTTTTTTCTTTGGTTACGAAGGAGAAATTTTATTGGATCAAATAGATAAGTAGAGGTAGGTTAATATATATATTTTTTTAATATGAACAGAATTTACCGCTACGGTATCGTATGTAGGCTTAATCGTGGGATCGATAATGCGGTTTCTCTAATGTGGTTCTGTAATGTGGCAGCAGAGTGTCTTGTGGTCATACAATCCCGGTAAATATATGAGCTGGGCCAGTAGTCCGTTAGTGGTCCATTGATAGGTGCAGTGGACTGGTAAAGGCCCATCACAGGCTCTGATCTTATGTGGGAAAGTTGATATCGATAGATTTCTTTTGGACGGTCCTATATGCCGTCGTTGCGGTAGGATTAAGATCGTCATCGATTTACATTAAGCTTTAAATCTTGTTTATTTGATCCGCTGTTACTTTAAGGTAAGTAGCGTAATGACCGATATTTTTTAACGTTATATCGTACACCGCGTACATTGAAATTTTTCGTTGGAGGTTCCATTTATCTCTTTTTTGAATTAAATAATTTAAAAAAAAATTATAAGTGCTGCATAACAGGATATTAGACTATCGTGCAATGGCGTGCAAACGTATTTCACAAAATTTGATAATTTTACGAGGATAAATGTTTTTATGGTGTTTTAACGATTACTGGATAGTTTCCGTAAACGAAGAAAATCATTTGTGCCATTGTGCGACAGGCGTCGATTCCCTGAATAGACATAACATTTTTTTATTTTTCAGATAACTATTGAAAGTATCTCCTTTTCACTGGATTTAATCACATCGAAAAAAATCATCGTCGACGTCAGTGGATTCTGAATTAGAAACTTTGAACTAAAAAAATTATCAGAACGTCCAAACAAATTTTCAAATATTCGTATTTTTCCATTTCGAAGATCTATATAAATTTTTTTTTCAAAACTACAGCAATCCTATACTCGTACCCTTACCGCAGTAGTCACGTGCACAGATCGCATAGATCATTTCCTTATTCGAAGCCGTTCATTAAAACCCACTCGATCCTCTCAAGTAATTGAATAAGGATTTTCAATCGACCAATTTAATTGAATCCTCGTGCCATAACTCGTAACTTTCGAGTTACCGATCCTCCCGGTACAAAGAACAAAGAGACGCAGACTCTACATACAATGAAAATTTTTTGTTGTTGCCCAAGAAACGAATCATTATAAAGTTCACTTAACGACCAACGTTAATAATTAATCCTGCCATCTCGATTAATCAGCCAACCGACCCCTCAATTACGTAATACCTAAGACCGTTGAAGTCACGGAATACCCAAAGAAAATTTGTATTACCTAATAATTAAAAAAAAAATATTTTTAAATGATCCTAAAGACCACGCTCATAAAATCGTCACACGGATATGCTTCGTGATGACAGTTGGCACATTTTCCATGCGAAAAATAACGTAATAATATCGCGTGTACTAAGGCGACGTGCTGCCACGTAAAGCAGCATAATTCCATTTAATTTAATGACAATTAATTCAGCCTGCTTTAGGAAATATATTACGAAATTGTCGTTACTAACAGAAAAAAAAAAGATCTAGGTGACAAATATGACGTAAGATTTTTCATATAAATTTGCTTCCTCCGACTAACCCCCTTCTCTCTCCTCGTTTCCTGTCGTTATAAAGATTTCTCATAAATTTTGCGTAAGGCGCTAGTACATTATTATTATACACATTATTATTATATGACAGCTGATATCGTTATGGAAAATATTTAATTACTGGATAATTATAATTATTCGTATTTTTTTTTTTTTTTCTCGAAATACGTGATCTCAGGTCACGTTAGTATCCTTCACTTTTCTTTTGTCATTTTAAGAGATCCTGCTGATTGCGTTAAGATAAAAAGATGGGGTCCGTCAGTGTCTCGAGTTGACAATGCGGTTATTGCGATGCATAAAAGTGCATTGGAATTTAATGCATGCAAATTAAGCCGCAAATTTTTCATGCCTGTCAGACACTGACAGGCTCTGTGTTATTCGCGACGCGGTAAAGAATAAAGAGAATCTTTGTAAGGATAAAGAGAAAAATGTTGCTCGGGGCTCTCGAGGGGACTCGTAGGAAAGTGTGTCGTTGGTTTACGGTGAATTCGAGCACGCGTTGCGTCAAACCGGAACGGCTAAAACGTGGCGGACAGGAAATTTCGGTCGATTCGAAATCTTCCCGGATTTTCGAGTATGATCAAAATACGTCATCCGGCAATCAAGACGTCAAGAGAAAAAAGAAAGCGAAACCATTTACGAAACGTCATACGAGCTTTCACGCTGACCGTTGTGATAAGACTGTGAGAGCAGTGACAGGGGCAGACGTAACTTTTGTCGGTACTTTAGATCCTTTATTTTCGCCTGGCAACAAAAGATCGTACCGATAATACCAGGAAGGCCGAAGAAAGTATTACGTTTACAGTATATTTTGGCTCGGATGATCTCGACTCTGCCGATGATAAATTTCTCATTTTTTATCGCCACAATAAAATTTGTAAATCAAAAACAAGCCTGTACATAAAAAAAAATTTAAGAGAGCCCAAAAAAGAGATTAAAAATAAAAAAAAAAAGTACAATTATAAAAATTAATTTTCATGATAATTATTGTTTAATTAAAAATTCTCAGAGACAGATCACAGTCCCAACTTCCGTGTCCAAATTCACCAATACGAAATCGACGTGCAATTACTCTCGGTGAGGAAGCTCAAACGTCGCTACAGTGACGCGCGAAAATCCCATACAATTATTCTTTAACCAAACCATCGTAATTACAGTTCGTGATCACCAGGAGGCGTTCGGGTACGTCCTTCGCGATTAACTCCGAACCCAGGATTGAAGTCTCACTCACAATCGGTTCCACCTGCATAATGCACAACGGATGCAGCAGCCAGGAGAAACCGCGAATAGACAGTTGGGAGAAGGAAGAAAGTCCGGAATTATTAACCCAGGACGGCGTCCCGTGCGTGGAAAACAGAAGAGGAACACGCGGAACCGGAACAACCACGTGGTAGAAGCCGACCAATCAGGATCGTCCCGTTCGATTTTTAAACACGCTGCCTCCCCATGGCCTATTTTATACGAAACACGTAACGAAATTCTAACCTTCCTTTCTCTACGAGCTTCATATAATTCCCAACATATTTTCATTAAAAACGAAGACAAACCATACGAAATTTCTCAGCGTCAACATACAATACCTCGACCTCCAGCCGAATTGCATTCTAATATAATTACCCTTACCCAACCATCCAGTGAATAGTCCAAAGTCAAAATTTTTCTCAGAATTCTTATTTTTAAATTACAACACATTTTCACCCACCAACGTGAAGTTAGGTGAATCAAGGTGCAACTGAGCAAACTAAAGGTCGGCCGTTCTCTTCACGAGAATTCGCATGGGAGCGCGTGCGCCGTATCCTCGTGGGACTCTGACTTGCACGACTGCAACCGCAACTGCACTCTATTATAAATCGTTTAAATAAAGTTCAATGGGAAAGATCGCGGCTAGATAACTCTAATGACACG